TGATAAAAAGCCAGGAAATTCAAAGTTAAGTTTGTCATTCCAACCTTAATACATGTCCTGTTCTCCATTGCTCCCACCCCTAAGGTTGTGATTATGGAAAAAGTATCATTCATAAAACTTTGCAAGCATGATGAATCACATCACACCCTAACCACAGCTGTTCATTTCATTTGTCTATGATTTACCCAAGGTTACAGTTTCAAACTTTTTCTTCATCGTTTGGTCCCGTGTGGGGAAATATCAACAGTTACTTTTTTAAAGTCTTCAAATGGTGTATAATACCACTGTAAATAGAAATGAACTGCACTTTACTGGCAGAACATGCCTAGTTTTATTACATTTTTCCCAAAATATTGATTTTTACTAATGATTTCCTGTGTCAGGGAATAATGATGTTACCGAATGTCATATTTTTGTCTGGGAGAGCCAAATTGTGAAACCTGATCTTTGTAAGTAGGTGTTTGTATTCAAATTGGAGTCCTATTAAAGGCAGGCTGTGACACAGGAATGTATTAATACAGTCAGATGCACGTAGGATCAGTGCCTGAAATTACTGATAGGACCAGACTGTAAAGCTTTGACTCACTGGATACATTTTGGTTTTAAGAACAGAACTGGTCCCTCTGCTGAACTTGTATATTGGACTTCACCTGCTTTGTGAGGAGAGGTTTCTCACATATATCATCAACATAAGGTATAAAGTTAATTCTTATACTGCCTATACAGCTAAACTATTTAGGAAAAAAAGAGTTGCAGAGTATTCTTACAGAATCAAATTCTAGTCATTGCACCCAAATATAACCGGTTGTTTTTCCCCCCATTACTCTGCATATACACCTTACTGGATTTCGGTTTTCTTTTTTTAAGTCTTTTTCATAGACTGTTAATTCTAGAGCTAAGTTTCATCCCAAGAACTGAAGCCAGTATCTCCAAGCTCCTCGGACAGCCCATCTGGGGAGACAGACTTCAAGTGGATTGCAAAGTTCACTACACATACTCACATCTCTGCAACACTCAGGATGTCTCCTTGATAACTTGATACTTGGATAAGATTCAGCAGTTAGATAACATGAGTCCACTTCTAGTATCCATATTAATTTCTTAACTGATGGAGTCAATCAATTCTTTAAGCACATGAGACTGGGGAAGTCAAATTGAAGAAACCTTGTCCTCACCTCATATACTTCGCCTACCTCCAACATAATAAAGGCTTTGCCAGCTCTTTCATCCATTAAGGCACTGCTTCCTCTGGTCTATATTAGCTTTGACTTTGACATCATTGGCCTCCTCCTTTCTGATTTTGTTGCACGCCACTCAAAAAAGTACTGACCAGTTCATTTTATACTTTTTGTTAGGCCTCCTTCCGCTTCACAAGTGACTCAGACCTAAAACTTTTGAACATGAACTCTATCACAGTCCAATGTTCACTGCCCATTTAACCGCATAATGCATTGAAACATTTGAGGTCTTCTTTACTCTTTCAGAGATATCACATTCAATCACATTTTTCTATGCTTTCATCTGAGTACTATGGCATTCTTCCGGCATCCCAACAACCAATATTACATTAGCTTTGCTTAAATAGTTCATTTTTGTATTAATTCATTGGTGGTGCCCATAGTGTCTTCCTCTTCACTGACTGAGCAAGTGTCAAGATAAGATATTGTTTCTAACTCTTCCTATTCCCTTGTAAACTGGCCCCGTCTCCACACATATGTACTGCACTGTTCTGGTCTGGTCTGTCTTTTCCCGTGTGATAATGTGGACAATTATAAGCATAGGCACACAGTGCACACAGTTATAAAAGGAGTAAAACCATTTCCATAGAAGTGTTTTGAGTTAAAATGCATATTAACTTTGTTCCTGCTAGTACAAATGGTATTTGATTTATTTTATAGGGACACATGTTAAGAGACAATGATTTTCAAAACTGTTCACAACTGAAACAAAATTAAGGGTGGACAAAAGAGGACAGAGATAATAGATCAGAAAAGCATCAAGAATCATGTTATATATATTTCTGAAGAAGAATAATTATGGCAATAACCGCACAGGAGTTTGAAATTGTAACCATCAGTGCTTAACATCTCTAAGCATCCTGTGATCAAAATTTTATTCATAAACAAGTGAAATGAAAAGATAGGACAAGAGACGGGTGAAGGAAGGTAAACAATCATAGGGCAAACTGCATTCATAGTTAAAACAAATCCAGAACAGACTTCAGAGCACCTAATCTGGTCTGAGATTTCAGAGTAGTAAACTCTGAACTCACCTCTTAAGAGAGTTCATCCTGCTTCTCCTGCATTGGTGCATTATCTATGCACTGAAAACCTGTCTCTTGCAGCATTGGATACATGTTATGCATTTCCTCACCTCCATACTTCCCCCAATGTGATAAAAATCAAGAAATATGAAGAAAAAGTCTGAAAACATACTACAAATCACAGTTCGTTGACCTCATTATATATAATCTAAAACAGTCAATATAAGAGAAAAATCTATATTTTAGCAAAAATATGAGGGGAAAAAAACAGGATACAAAGCAGAAAAAAAGTTTAGTTTGACCGGATGATTCCCCTTGGCAATAAGTCTTCATTTTCTGCTAGGACCTCCCAGTCTTGTTTCAGCCCTGTCTTTAGTGCTTCCTTTAAGAATTCAGTGATAGGCACACCATGCATTAATCTTTTATGGTTCATGTTATACCACTTCGTGATGCAATATTAACTCAAAAAGCTTTTCCCTTTATGTTCTTGCGATACAGAACTCTTTCAGTTGCTGTTATCCTTGTGGTTTGTGCCCTGCAAAAATCTGAAACTAGAGATGTGAGCAAGAGTTTCTTTCTGAAGAGACCTCGTTGAAGGGCTGCTCTATCCTCTACTAAATGCCAGTTTCACACACAACGGTGAATTCATGTGAAAACTCTCACAGCGCTAATGAATTCACATTTCTCCATTCATTTCATTTTATTATCTGAAGTATTTGACTTTTCCCGATAATTTTGAATCCTGTAGTCGCACATCTTTGCTGTTATTTACTCTTAATTTATACCTCCATGTCTTTAAAAGAAATACTTGTCAGCTTACCTAAAAGGAGTTCAAATAAGTTACATTTCTTTGAGGGTCAATCATAAAAATATATCTGCTCTTTCTTTCACTGAGTGCTACTTTTGGATGCTCTCTAGGCAACACCTCTCTTAACAGATGTTTTACAGCTCCTCTTTGCCTTATTAGTTCTTTCGCCGAGGGCATTACCGTACCATTTTTGTTACAAATAAGCCCGTCTCTGAGCGGCTCTCCCCTTGTTCGCTGAGAAAACCTAGCGCTAATAAGAATACAGGCAGTCACCCTGTTTTTCGCCTTTTATCTGAGCAGGGGCTGTAGTGGTGGTGCGACAGGATGGGGAGAGGTGGATGGTCGGCCCGGAGGAGGGGGCCGCCGGGTACTTGCAGTGCCGGCACTGCCGCGGGGAGAGGCCGCCCTTCTCCGGAGCTGTCCAACGTACCTGCGCCCCGCGCACCTTCCGCGGCCCCCGCGCAGCCCCGCCCGGCCCCGCCGCTGGAAGCCCGCGGACCCGGGGGGAAGCGGGGAGGAGAGTGACTTTCCCGCGGCATCTCTCCAAGGAAAGAGGATGCGTGGTTCGCTCACTGAGTTGTAAATGACGGCAAATCCCGGTACGAGGCGGGAAATGTTTACTGTCCTGTAGTCAAACAGGAAGTATTTTTGCGGAGAGGGATCCTTCGGCCTCCCCCACCCACCTCCTTTGATCTGGTGGGCTTTGAACTCCCCTTAGAAATTAGAGACTAATTAGTCCCAAAGCGAGAGTGACAACACTGCATGACAAAGGCGAAGATTAGGCTTTAAGAATGCAGTGCAGGGGTGATGGGCAGCCACTCCTGAGACAGCTGTGTGCACAAATCGCGTGCCAAAGAAAATCGATCCGATTCGACCTGGGTATATCTGACACTGCCAGGGATTGCCAGGACCGGGCTGTTTATTTAGAGAGAGTCTGTGGTGCGGGAGGGTGAAGACACAGCCACTCTTACAGTCTCCCAAGACAAAAGCAAAACAATCCCCAGAGTCCGTCCTCAAGGAAACCTTGATCAAAGAAAGGTATTCAGCGGTATCGGGTGTGCGGGTAGGTGTGTTCATGTGCGTTTCACGGTATTTTGCGGTACGTATCCAGCATTATTAGTTGATTACTCTGTGCACTGCCGGTGACCGGGGCGGCTCTACCAAAGGTGTGAGAGCAACTGCTGCCTTGAACAGGACCAGCTTATCGCCTTCTCATGGGCAGGAGAAGGGAGTTTCAAAACAAGTGCTATGAGATTGCCTAAACCGAAAGGAGCTGTACGAAGCAGCCTTTTACTGGAAAGGTGTTTGAACTGTGATTGAAGGGTGTTTAGGGGGAATGGAGCGACGATTCCAATAGTTACTACTGGGAATGCAATATCGGGTCCCCTACAATGCTTACTTAGGCTAATGGAGGTCCTGTCATTCAGTTCCCATTGCGCTGGGATACAGGGTAAACATTCCGCAGTGACCTTCTGCGTGCAGGTCTCCTCTTCAGGACATCATTAAAAGCATACATGCATTTGCCTGACATCAGTTGTCAGGCCGGCTTTCAGGGTTCAGAGATCCCGAGAGAAAGCAGGAAAACAGGCTCAGTGGAGACCCGGCTCTGAGGCTGCTGGCTTTAAAGAGGCTGAAAATCATTTGGTTGCGGGTATGTAAGAAGAGACAAAAGTGCTCAGCAGGTAAGAGCGGAGGGTTTTGCCAAGAAGGAACTGTCCTTGATCGCTGTGACTGGATTGACTCGCTGGGGACTCCTCTCTCGGGAGCGTCCACGTGTCCCTGAGGGGATTGCCTGTCTCCTCTCATCAGCATCACGGCGAGAAATTTTACAGCAACTCTTTCTAGTCCTGCTAATCCTGTTATCCGGGGGGTTATAAATATTAACATCGCTGGGGATGGGGGACCAAATTAAACCCTCTCTGAAGTAAGATGTCAGCCAGCCTCTTCCCAGCCCACCAGCTCCCGGGGCTGCTTGATGAGTTTCACGGCAGAGCCCCGCAAGTGCCCTGTCCGGAGAGACTGCTTGGCGCCTCGGTGCTGGATTTTGTGGCCGACCTGTCCCTGGGAGCCCCCCAGGGACCCCCCGGGGCCGGGCCGGGCCTGGGACTCTGCGACGTCACCGCCGGCACCCCTTTCGGCGACAGAGCCCTGTCGCTCCGGGAGGGGATGGCCCGGGGGCTGCCCCTGGCTGCCTTCGGAGATGGAGATCCCGAGGACGAAGAAGAGGAGGAGGAAGAGGAGAGGATGCGCAGCGCTTCCCTCCTGGATAGACCCAGGAGAAAGCGGGTCATCACATACGCCCAGCGCCAGGCTGCCAATATACGGGAGAGGAAGAGAATGTTCAACCTCAACGAAGCGTTCGATCAGCTGAGGAAAAAGGTGCCCACCTTCGCCTACGAGAAGAGGCTCTCCCGGATAGAGACCTTGCGTCTGGCCATAGTGTACATCTCCTTCATGACTGAGCTCCTGGACGGATGCAGCAGGCAGGAGGCGAGTTAAGGAGCGCCTGGGCCCGGCGGGGCGCGGCACCGAGCAGGTGGCCTCGGCATCTCCCTCCTGGGGACGCAGAGCTGTGGCTCCTACCTCGGCTTCTCACATCGCAGCCAGGACCGTGTAGGTGTGGGATGCAAAACCAGGAGTGTTTGGAGCAGCGTGCACTCGGGTCGGGGGGAGGAGCGGGGGAGAGGATGGATGGAGAGGCTCAGTATATCGTAGATTTTTTAATATATGTAATTTTTGTAAAGGGAAGGGGAGGAAATGAAGGTCCGAGGCCCTTTTGTTTGTGTTACATCGCCTGCTTACTCTAAAATATTTCCAGTTTGTTGTTTTGGAGGAAGACTGGGCTGGGGCAGTGGAACCCTTCCAATGTGTGGAACAGGTTTCCAGAAGGTTCGGTTCCTGCCCAGTTGCCTGCCAGTGAAATCTCGGCGTGTGCATTTTAACCCAGCGCTTTCTGCCTTTTAAAAAATAAACAACATTTTCTTTGAAATCCAGCCTGCCAAGTCCACGCCGTGTGTCACGGGGCCAGGGAAGCCGAACATCTGGACACAACCGCTTGTTGTCACGATTTTTTTCCCGGGACCAGCTTTGTCCTTGCGTGTGGGCAGCCAGCGCCGTGGCTCACACGGAGCAGAAGCTGACAGAGCAGTGCCCAGCCCGGCCTGGCCCGGCCCGTCGGGGTCGAGGTGCAGCGGCTGGCCGGGATGCCTCGCAGCCTTCCCGGCACCGGGGGGCCCGGCCTGGGAAGCCGTCTGCGCCCTCCTGAGGGAGCAAACGTGAGAGCTTGTGGGCTCTGATTTTGGGGAGGTCAAGTTGAGACATTTTGTCTCTCACTGGAACCCCCCCACACACACATACACCAAGAGGGTTTAATTGCTGCAAGGAATAAATATAAATTAGTTCTAAAAACATGGAGTGGGAGGAATGGGGGAAACCCGGTCCGTACATACCCTGGGGATGTGGACAGGGTCACGCCGGGGATCGTGTTTTAGTGTTACCTACTGATGCCTCGCAGGCATCTCTTAACAGAGGCGAGGTGCCGGGAGAGTGGCAGCTGCGGGGGATGGCCGTGACCGGGCTGGGAGTGGGGCCCGCGGCTGCACTAGAAGCCTCTCCGATCCTTCTCTGCCCTCCCCTTTCCCCCCTCCCCCGATTCACCCTGCCTCAGTTCTCGCTGCTGCTGGTACCTTCAGTCGCTGCTGCCGGGAAAGACCTGGATTTGTCCCTGCGTTCGGAGCAGACGGGCAGCAAACAGCCTGCTCACAGTCCCGTCCAGCCGCGCTAAACGGCCCATCTAGGGCAGCGGTTCCGCATGGCTTCACAGAATAGCTTTTATCTCCACTATATAAAATTATCGTGATATTAGTGAAACCAATATTTACCCTGGATTCAGGCTAGTGTAGCTAAGATCCTATGTCTCTTTTATTTCTTCTCTCACGTTTTGTCAGCTCCTGAGGTGATTCTTCTTCTTTTTCTCATTCTACTCACTTTAATATTATCATGAGAGATCTAATATCCTGTATTAATACTCTAATATTCTTTCTCTTTTCACTTGTTTCCTTGGTTTCTTTTTCTACTTGTTTTTATTGACCTCCCTGACTCCACACATTGCATCTGCTATCCAGTTGTCAGAATGCTTTTTTTTCCAAAAGGCAGTTGGATAGTTAACGCAGCTGGATCCTTTCTAGGAACTAGGGGGTTTCACCTCTTCAGATGGTTTTGTGTTGTTTTGGGGGTTGTTTTCTTTTCTTTTTTTTTTTTTCCTAAAAATAAAATGAGAAAAGGAACTAAGAATGAACAAAGTTCCAAAATCAACAGCTGTTCACATAACTCAAATGCATAATACTGTTACCATCATCTCAAACAAAACTATGAAGACAAATTCTTTAAGGAAAATGAAAAATGCAATTCAATATTCATATCTTAGCAGTCTTTTTCTATGATCTCTCACAGTATTATTATATACAAATTCATATTTTTTCTTGCACATGTCACTGGGTGAAATTAGAACTCTATAGCACATAGTCTTAAGTTAAGAGATTCGTAATGTAAACGTATCTGCAATAGATAATTCAAAAATTATTTGTTTTCTCTTCTTAATTTAATAACAAAACTTTGGACTTTGTTCAAGATCCAAGGTTTTTTGTGTTAGAGACTACAGAAAAGCAGAAAGAAAATGTTACATTGTATTTTGAAATACAAATGGATTTTGTGTTGTGAATCTTAATTTTTAAAGGATCACTGGAAACTTTGCAGCAACAATACCAAACAGTAGTAACATTCTTATATGAGCTACTGATTCTAAAAACAACATTAAAAATTAAAAATGCAGTGAACACAATGTGCAAACAGCACAGATAAAGTATGAAGATGCATTTTGAGTTGCCTCTGGGCCACACACTGATTTATAGGACCTGAGAACCTGATGAAATGGGCTTTAAATTTTTTGTTTCATGCTTTTTCAAAACTAACAAAGATTTAACAAAACAGTAGCCTAGATGGATTTTTATCCAAGGCATCCATGTTAAAACTAAAGCATTCTCTTATAGCCATGAAGAGCTCGGTAAAACAGAAAGTTGCCATACTGACCCATCACTTGGCCCCCATGGATGTGTCAAAATCCCGGAAGATCAGTCTGCTAAGAATATAAACAAATTACAGAAACATTGCAAACAAGCTTCTTGCTGAAGTGCAATCCCATCTCCCTGAAATAACAAAACTGTGGCATCCTTTCTCCCCTAATTCTTGTCTCAATCCAAGATAGCTGCATTTTAGTCTGTAGACTCACAGTACAGTACAATAACTTATCAGGCTTAGGAAGATAAAGAAACCATGACTCTAACAGAGTGAAAAAGTGCTACTAACTTCAGCAAGGCTTGGATTTCACCCACTGGAGTGAAAGGCCTCTCCCTTGCACAGAAACCCTGCTGCCACCAAAGCTGAGTCCAGCTCCTCGGTCTCCCCAAGCACCGTGCCATTATCACCGCATTAAGAACAAAAACTGACAGTGTCAATTACTTCTGGGAAAACATAATAAGGGGGTTTTTAAAGCCTTAGAGCTGTTTGATCATATCCCATTTTTAGACCCTGGTCTGAGGCTGGTTTGTTTATATTCTCTTTGGACACTGAAGGCTGACTTTTGGTAGAAAGTTGAGTTCCCTTGAAGCTATCATGTTACAATTAGTATTCAGACATGTAAACCAAAAAATAAGACTAAATGAAATCATATTTGAGAGGGAAATTTTGAAGCTTTTGAAAAGAAGTATAAATAATCAAAAGATTTTGCAATCTATAGTCAGACTGATCTTGTTTTACAGCTGCTGAACCTGAAAGAAATTTTAAGCAAATTAGCACTGGAAACAGAACAAAATATTGTGATAGTGCTGCAAACTTCTGCATCCACTCTCTGACCAGCTACTATGGCCCCATGGTTGGTGTTTATTATCACATTTGTCAGAGTTTCCATTATAAACACTCTAGTGTGGAGGATTTATAACTCATCTATAAAAATTCCTTCTGGGATGAAACTTGATAAGAGAAGTCTGAGTCTGACAACTTCGTTTTTTCTTTTAGAAACTTTAATATAAATTAGGTTTTTGAAGTCATGGAGGTACTAAGAAAGACTAATGGAAAAGTGGTTTTGATTTTTTTTTCAGATTAGTGATTTTTCTCAAAGAAAATTTCTATGTAACTCTATTGGTCCTTTCAATTAACTTGGACCTTCTGGTTTTCTGTTTTGTTTTCTTTTTTTTTTTTTTAATTAAAAATAGCTGAAATAGTAAAGCTTAAAATGACTGCTGTGCATGCTGAGTCCCTGTTTTCATGGGAACTTGTTGTTTTTACTAGGCCTGAATACTACAGATCTGCAACAATGACAGCCAAGCTTTATAGTTCAAGGATGGATGGATAGGTATGCTGGTTATACTCTTTTTGTAGTACTGTAAATTGCTGTCTTTTCTAAAAAGTTGCTAAATATAGTTAGTTCAGAATACTTGCTCCTAAACTTTGCTCCAAAACCCATGCTTGTTTTAGATATTGAGAGGAACATTCTTCACAGCATTCTTCAGAGAGCATTCTTCACAGAATATTCTTCACTTTATTTTATGTCTATAATATACCCAGAATAAAAGAATTCAAGGAATAAAAATATTCAACTGCAATTGTCTTAAAATTTTAGCTTTTTAAGAAGTGTAGTTCAGATAATATTTTAAAATTTACGTTCAATTTGGATTTTGCTTTTCCCCTTCTCTTTCCTAATTTCAGCATTTATCTTTGGTCTGGTTGGCAGTGAAGTTTAAGCCCCTGAATTTTTTGTGGCTACTACTCTGCTGATGACCCACTACACTCCAGTTCAGTGGTCCTTACATACCTGAAATCCCTATTCATTCAAAGAAGTCAAAATAGGGGTGTGATTCTGTAATCTTTACTTTTGTAGTGCAATTTTCCACATTAATATATACTTACAAGGACTTCAACATATTCAAATTGTTGTGTGCAATATATTATCTTAGTGTGGCTTTTACTGCTTTTGAAGGTTTCAGTACCATAACTGTGACTCAGTTCTTCTCCTCCCACACTGAGGAATATTGGATAATTCCCACATAGAGTTATTGTACTGCAGAAGGACGGGCTTCACTATTGTCACACACAGCTTTGTTTCAAACCAAGTAATCAAGCACACTGAGATTCTAGGCCTGTTTATGCTTTTGTCATACCTCTGCCATAATTTCAAAATGAGGGATAAGGAGCATCCTATTGGTTCAATTGTTTCTCCTTAGCTCTGAAAGCAGAAGAAATATACTAACTGTCCATTTTAGTTACAGTTCCATCTTGTCTTGCTCCAAGCCTTATAAGGAATCAAGGGAAAGTAGTACATTTTGTGATTTTCTACGCAGCAAAGGGGAAATCTGTGCATGGAGGGTCTTCAACATAAACACATGCACTGAGAGAAGGAGAATTTAATTCAGATTTTTTTTTTCTCTAGCATTGTTTACTTACTA